AGGGGGGGGGGGGCTGTCCCCTGCGCGCGTCTGTGTGCTGTGACTTCCCCGCCTGGGTGGGCTGGGGGGTTGGGAAGGGGAGGGGGAGAAGGCAGGGGGAGGCGGAGAGGAGCAGGGCCGGGGCGAGGAGGAGGTCGGGGCGGTGCGCTGAGCGGTGTGCTTGGGGCGGTGGGTCGTGCACTGCCAGCACCTCGCAATTGGCGTCGCGGAGCCGGCGCCCCCACCACCGCCCCGGCGGCTGCCCGGCTGCAGGTGTCGCGCTCGCTGGCTGCCTGCGAGGGCTGCCTGCTGGTGGTGGATGCCAGCCAGGGCGTGGAGGCGCAGACGCTTGCCAACGTGTATCTGGCACTGGAGAATGATCTGGAGATCATCCCGGTGCTCAACAAGATCGACCTGCCGGGTGGGTGGCGCAGGCGCGGGCGGCGGCGGCGGCAGGGCTGGCACGCTGGCCAGGGGGCCAGGCGGAGCCGGAGCGCAGCGTGGTGGGCTGCTCAGGAGAGATGGGGCGCAAGGAGCCGGCGGTCAGTGCAGGGGTCGTGTGCCTGCGGCGGCGGCCTGTGGAGGCTCCACCGGGCTCCAGCTGGGCCCGCCCGCCCGCCCACCCCGCCCGCCCTGGCCCGTCCCGCAGGCGCCGACCCGGAGCGCGTGAAGCGGGAGATTGAGGAAGTGATTGGGCTGGACTGCAGCCACGCCATCATGGCCTCCGCCAAGCAGGGGCTTGGCATCGAGGAGATTCTGGAGGAGGTGGTGCGGCGCGTGCCGCCGCCTGCCGACAACCGCGGCAAGCCGCTGCGCGCCCTCATCTTCGACTCCTACTACGACTCGTACAAGGTACTGGCACGCGGTACCGCATGCCGCACCGTACCGCTGTGTTGCCTGTAGAATCCCAGCCCCCTGCAAAGCGCGCTGCAGGGGGGAGCGCGCCTGCCCGCACCCGCCACCCACGGCACCGCAACCCCACCCCGCCCCTCGCGTCCCCTGCCTGCCGCCCCCGCAGGGCGTGGTGGTGCAGTTTCGTGTCATGGACGGCGAGCTGCGGCGGGGCGACCTGGTCAAGTTCATGAACACGGGGTGCGAGTACGACATCACAGAGCTGGGGGTGCTCAGCCCCAAGGCCGTCGAGGTGCGCGCGCGGGGCGCCACGCGGCGGCCGGGGTGGCAGCTGTGGCAGCCGTATGC